TTGTGGGGTTGTTTTTTGTTTTGTTTTGTTTTGTTGTTGTTTTTTTGGGGGGGTAATCAAAAGTCCTCTTTCCCCAGAAAACGCTTTTGTCAATGAAAACTGGTGGGGGGGGGGGGGGTGTTATGAATTTCAAAGTAACCCGTCTCATATTTTCTGTTAACAAAATATGAGTCATTGTAAACGAAACAAAAAAAGTAGCCAGGTTTGTTTCTTCGTTTTGCTTTGTCTTATCTTTTGTTGGTGGGTGAAGGGAAGGCAGTGGGGTAGGTTTTTCTGTTCGTTTGTTTGGTTTTCAAGGGCAGGTTTTTGAATGGGGGATGAGGCTGAATAACTGTTGAGTGGATTTTTCTTTTAATTCGGACACTGCATCAAAATAAATGCATTCATCAAAAGACCCTGTTGCTCACGATTCTCAAAAGCATTAAAATTCACGCTGTGGCATTGTTTTACTGATGATGATAATATTTTTTTAAGATGGTGTTTGAAAGGGAACACAGTATGAACCCCCTAAACACCTTCAGAGACGCAAAAATCGCACCATCCTCATAATTGGAGGATTGAAGAAATATTTTAATAATTATGGTAATTACCTCGAAACAACAGAATCCACCCCATCAGGATATCATTATTCTTAATATTTGATGTATTTTTATATATTCTAAGAGTGAATCTATGCATTGCCTTGTTTTCGACATCTGTTTTAGACAACAAAAAATTGTAAGCCAAAACAATTGATCGGGTGCTTGAACACATTATTGGATCTCTTTTCAAAGGACTTGATATCATTCTAATGAGATGGAAAAAAATAATAATAAATAAACTCAACCTGAACCATATTGCTCCCAAAAAAGAGAGAGAAAAAAAGAAAACTCTAGGGCCACATCGTCGTCCAACTTTGGGACCAACTATTCTACATGTAATTTGTCGCTTTCACCTCATGTAAAGGTAGACCTTTAGTAGGACTCAAGTGGCTTCTGTCTTGAAGCACATTGGCTCCTGAGAGTCGCATGCAAAAGTTGTGAGTTCGATTCCCAAAAGCATAAGATTATTCTGTCGAGTTTTTCTTTCTTTCTGTTGGGGTTTTGTGTGCTTCTCAGGCCGTGTTGGTCCTGATTTCATCCAGCCTGGCCACTCATGCTAAATGTGTTGATGGGAGCAAAAAATATTAACAATTAGCTTAGGGGCCGTGTTGTTAAGTTCATCTTCGGAATCTAACCATGCGCACACCAGCTGCTGTTTGTTTTGTGCTTTAGAGGCGACAAAAACAAATGAACCCACGAAGCATCTGCAGTTGGTCTTGCATTTATCTCATCTGACGTTTGAAACCGAATACAGACATAAGAGTATCTTCGTGGAATTGAATACAGAAATAAAAATCTTGTTTTGATATACATAAAATTTGTTCCTTCCTCTAGGCATTTGCATTTTAAACTTCGCTTGTTTTCCTTTTGCATTTTAAACTTCGGCCGTTTTCCTATTTCAGAGTTCGTAGTGGAGGGTTAAATGAAAAAAAATAAGTTATAATCATAATATATTTTAAAGATTCCTATAAAACACTAAGCTTCTTTGCTGGTTGCCTGACCATTAAAAGAACAACAACAACAACAACAACAACAACAACAACAACAACAACAACAACAACAACAACAACAACAACTGGGTGCTGAATTCTCTACCGTCATTTCTTATTGAAGAGACAGCAGCTTGCTAAATTATTTTCAATCTCCGCTGAGCACAGACATCAGAAATCAGCTGAACAAATTCCCATCAATGTCAATACACTTCTAATGAAATCGACGCTGTTATCACTGTTTTTGTTTATGTGCGCTCACGTACTGTGCTCAATAAATCCAGAAATAAATAAAACAAAAGTTCTCAAGAATAACTGAGCCAACAAGGTTTAATTTTCCCCATCTTGATACCTGTAATATTGTTAATTAGAAATTGTTTTTACAACACCTTTGGGAGGACGGAATACAGCTACATTTAAAAGGTGGTCCCAGCTGCAGTCTAGACTCTTGTATAGGACAATTAGGCATGGCATAGACGACGACCCAAAACGTCAAGTTAGAAAAAAAAATTCACGGCTCAGTAAGTGCATATTATTATTGTTATCACAGACAGAGAAAGAGAGAGCAACGAGCATTTCAATTAGCATTATTTTAACCTTTCAATCAGGGACTCTATTTTTGTGTTGTTGATAATTTATGTTTGTCTTCTCATTCTCGTGTCATTACGCCATGCTACGTCGCTAAAGCTTTTCTATGCCCGTCCACTTTCGGAGGATGCGCCTGTGTTCCAGCACAACAATGTTGACTCTGTTGAATGTACGTTTGTTTGAGTTGGAGTTGGAGTAGAAAGGGGCACTTAGACAGGATAACGGCTGTTCGGTGCAGGAAGAAAGCGAGCCGAAAGACAGCGTGAAGCAACAAAAGGAAAAAAAAAAAGAAGCAGGGCCACCAGTGAGGCCCATCTTTACATGGGGTGAACCACCCCCCCACCCCCGCAGTTTACAATCTGTGACAGGGCACATCATATCTCCACAATAAATAAAGTCTTTTCAGCTATCGGACCTGGAATACTGGGGTTATGAAATAATAAGCCATAAGTTTGAAACAAAGTGCGCCGTAGAAATTAAAATTCTGAATAACATTCTAATATCGTTAGCAAACAGTATGTGGAAGACCTGCTTCAAATGTTCTTGTTTGGGGGGTGGGGATGGGGGAGATTTGCAATTAGCGGCAACATGATAGCTTTTAATGGGGTTTTGTTGTTGTTGTTGTGTTTTTTGTTTTGTTGTTTGGGGTTGTTTTTTTCAAAGGCTTCTCCATAAAATACTGGCCATGAAGCTCAAGCCGCACCGATTCGTTCGGTTTGTTTTTGTTTTAAGAAAATTTGTCTCTGAAATGTCATTATACTTCTAAAGCATAACATATTAAGGAGAATTATCAATTTTATTATGATTGTCTGTGCTTTTGTTCTGCTAGGCGTATCTTTGAACGACCCAGTTTTTTGTTCTCAATCATCAGATCTAAAATCCCCGTAAAGACTAACATCTTGTCGGCGATACTCTTGTGATTCGACACCATTATTTGCACTTTTTTTTCTTTTTTTTTTCTTTAAAAAATTGTTAAGTGCTGTCCTCTGGTATTATTTCTCCAGGTTCAGCAGGAGAGGGAAAATGTTAATGTGAGAGCTCATGAAATAACTTTGGAAGTTAGAGGAAAAACATTCATAGGCGTTGGTGGTTCTTGTGGATTCTTGTCCTGTCCTCATATATTCATATAATCATGGGTCTGAGCCTACACAGCTGTAGATGCTGAATCTCCTACCTTGCACAGCAACACCAAAAATCGAAAACAATAAAGATTACTGGTGTTGAGAACGAATTTTTTTCAAATAACAGTCGTCACTTTAAGGAGGTGAAAGTTCAATTTTCGAGATTAACATGTGGGGGGAAGTTCGTCGTTCGAGAGAGCGCCACAGTCCCATTATGGACTGGAAATTGTCCTCACATTCATTTAATCTGTCCAAAGTTATAACGAAAGAAAGTAAACAATTGTGCGTAAGAACGAAAAAGAAAGAAAGAAAGAAAGAAAGAAAGAAAGAAAGAAAGAAAGAAAGAAAGAAAGAAAGAAAGAAAAAAGAACAATGACGGAGAGAAAATGAGAAGTAAAAGAGAGAGAGAGAGAAAACGAGGAAAGAGACAGAAGAGCGAGAGAGAGTGTGTGTGTGTGTGAGAGAGAGAGAGAGAGAGAGAGAGAGAGAGAGAGAGAAAGAGAGAGAGAGAGAGAGAGAGAGAGAGAGGGGGGGGAGAGAGAGGAGCTGGGAGAGAAAAGAGAAAATGAGAGAAAGACAAAATGTGTGTGTGTGTGTGTGTGTGTGTGTGTATGTGTGTGTGTGTGTGTGTGTGTGTGTGTGTGTGTTTGTGTGTTTGTGTGTGTGTATGTGTGTGTGTGTGTGTGAGTCAAACAATATGTGTGTGTTGATGTAACTGTCGCAAAACAAAGGAGCAGGAGTATCCCTTTCATGTCACTCGTTCATTCATGCCCTGAACAACTCACTTGTGTCCTCCCATGAAAGTACCCTCATACCACAACCCCCCCCCCTTCCCCCATCCTCGTTTTCCTTTCAGCCCATCCCTAAGGACGCCATTTTTGGTACATGTAATTCTCCTGTCACTCACAATATTTGGAAATAGATAAAAGAAAATAAAAATCGTGTATTTTGTCGGGTTGGGGTTTTGTTGTTGTTATTGCTGTTTCACATTTATAACAAATACAGGTTTGCAACTTTAGCCTTAAAACTCGTTAAACAATTCTATTGTATACATGTCAGTAACTTGCTCTCCCAGTTGTTCAAAGTTTTAATGGCACGTGAGACTAGCATAAATCTGTCTCAGTTAAGTTTGTAGTCTCTTGGCACAAGCTGAGACAAACCAACTCCCCCCCCCCCTCTCCTCCTTTTCCTCTTTATTTTCAAACAGCTATAACTTCTCTGACGTTGCTTGTCTTTAACATTTCTGTATGCTCAACAGTGAAAAGACAATTTATACTGAATGGCATTAGTGCGGTGCACTCCCATATGTAGCCATTAGACCATCTAGTGTGGTGCACTTCTACTAATTTTCTTTTTCGTTGTTGTCCTCGTCTGTACCTGACAAAATATATCGTCATCGTCATTTCACAAACGCTTAAGTCCCTTTTTAAAAAGTTTTTGAGAAAAAGAAAAAGAAGAGATCGCCGAATCAGAAACATGACATATTCAATTAAAAACAAGGAAGGAGATCACGAAATACCCCTTTGATGTCTTTATTCGAATAACGACTTTACCTGGAAATCCCCCTTGCGATATAACTAAGCGTCGGTGCCCTGAAGCGAGCTGATATCGTGACTAGAAGCTGAACAACTACCACTCAAATAAACAATGTCACATTTCCAAAGAGTGTTAAAATGACCAAAGAATGATTTTCGAACGTGACAACACACAATGTGACTTACCACTAGGCTCGCTCGTGTCTTGTTGCAGCACCCGACTCGGGTACCCTGGAGACCTCGCTCCTGCCTCGGAGTTTGGCCCACCGTCTGGCATTGGGTGCCTCTCCCCTGGGCTGAGACTGACCAAACCATTGTCTGCAGACACCGGGCCTGGTGAGTGAGAATCTCTCGGACTTGCAGTCCGACCCGAAGATGTCAGGTTTGCACTCCCAGAACCTACTGGGGGCTGGTGAGACATGCGAGGGGGCTGCTGTGGCTGGTGAAGAAATGTCTTCGCCTCCGGGAAAAAGTCCACCGTCTCTGGGTTCATCTGTAAGAGTCCGTTGGGCCCGTAGAGAAGTCCCAGCTCCCTTGCTTCGTTCTCTTCCTGTGCCTGCTGTCGCCTGAGTGCCACCTGGGCCGCCATTACCCTTTGTCTCTCGGCGATGAGCGTGCATTTGGCGCAGACGCAGTCTCTCCAGCGGCAGTAACGCTTGTGACCCTTCAGAGCGGAGACCACGCCGTGATTGCGGCATCTAGCGCACTTTGGCGTGCGGGGATAACGATCTGAGGCTCTCATGAACAGGGATCCTGAAGACATGTCCACACCACCTCCCCCAGAACCTGGGGTGGTCATACCTCCCTCGTTGCGGCTCTTCTCCTCGTCAGAAGATGACATGGTGTTTTCCACAGAAAGATCAGAACTCTTGAAAGAAAAAAGCTTAGTTCTCTTTCCTTTTAAGTGCAGGAAAATGAAGTTATTGTGGATTCGGTGTGTACCCGTACTTCCTTTTTCTAAATATAGAATTGCTCAGAAATTCGTCATCACCATAGCAATGTACATTTATAGCGGGAAAACCAAAGTGGTATAGTTTGGGAGTGATATGAAAACTACAAAAACTTACGGAAATGCTTTATCATCGTCCGCTTCTTGAACATGAGAGCACAGTTGAGAGCGTCCGCGGCAAACACATCATACTGAAGATAGAACTGTCATATAGATCGGCGTACGCCCAGCTCATTTACGCAATGTACACGCGTATTTTCCCCGTTCTATGTAACCGTAGATGTTTGGTTCCAGAACAGCACTACGTCAGAAAGATCTGAAGAGATAGCGCAGCTTGCATAAACACACGTTGTTTGTTGATGATAAAGATTTCCTCGCGACCTCACAACTTTTATTGCCACCGCATGACACTTTGAAATAGTCTTACGGATTAGTATTTCACTTTCCCTCTCCTTGTTCAATTGATTCCATTGAATAAAAGCCAGGCGTTCACCCCTTGTAGTGTCTTCAGGTTCTGAGTTCTGTTTGAACCGTGGCGGGATCGCCGAGTTACGGGGTAAACACAGAGCTTCTGGAGTAGCTGGCGGTGAGACGCAACAAGATCCAGGAACCTTCTCGGTTTGTCCTTCTCATCGAAGTCTGAGAGAGTGCCGAACGCCAAACTATACACACAAAATAATACTGTAAAGGAGACCTCCGGCGCTTTTTTATTTCGCGGGCGAAAGGAAAAGGGGAGCGGAGCTGTTGCGACTGTCACCATCGCTTGTAAGCCCCGCCTTCGCCCCGCCCCCTTGTCGCTTGTCGATACAGATGGGCGACCGCCGCGGTTTGTATCGATTTCGAACGTCAGCGCCATGCTTGCTCTTTGCTGGAGCGTGTTTCCATTCCTCGCCGTCTCATTGGTCGTTCGTGGGCCGTCTTGGTCATCGTCGGATTGTATCGATGAATACGAGGACAGACTAAAGGGGCGTTTCTCTTCCTCCCCCCTCCCCCTCTCTCTGTATCTGGCCCGAGTCAACACAGAGAGCTAATGGGCAATTTATAGTTTTGCAATCTGCTGTAGAGGCCGGTTCCGAGGAAAGAAAAACACATCGAAAGCTTGCGCTCTGTTTGGGCAACACGACGTGGGCAGGTTCTGCTTGCACAAGAACAATAATTGTGGTTTCTCACACGATCTTTAAAGAAAAAACCTGGAGCCAAAGAGAACTGAAATACGGCAATCAATTTTCTCCAAGTAGAAGTCGATAAAATGGAACTCTTTCATGTTTTCTATAAAATAAAAAAAAAGAGTTTTTCATGTGTACTCTGTTTTACTGTACTCCGAGACAGCATAATATTTGCTTATAAAAGTTTGATTGATTCATCAAAGTAAATGTTTCAAAGTTCTGCAAACATTTCGCCTTCCGTCGTTAAAAGTTATAGTTCAAGATAGGGCGAGAGAGAGAGAGAGAGAGAGAGAGAGAGAGAGAGAGAGAGAGAGAGAT